CATAGTGGCATTGCGCACGCAAAGTCGTTGACTTTCTGCTCGCATTTTTCAGCTCGACTCGGACAAGGAAGACTCCGAGTGACGCGATGCTCAGTGAGCTCAGTGCTCAGGCTCAAGCGTTCAACTGCTCTGCTCAAGTGCTCAAATGCCCCTAGGAGTCTAACTACGTAACCGATCGCTGCACTGCATCACTCACAAGCGGCAAGGAAGCGGTCACGAGTCACAAGTCACAAGCGGCACAAATTGTGCTGCGACTCCGACTCCTACGGCTGCGGCTTCAGCATTGTCACGACTCACGACTCGTCACTGTCGTCCTGTCGTCACAAGTGACAAGAGTCACAAGCGGTACAAAATATGCTGCGACTGCGACTCGTGACTCCTACAGCTGCGGCCTCAGCATTGTCACAAGAGGCAGCGGCACAAAATGTGCTGCGACTCCTACGGCTGCGGCTTCAGCAGTTCAGCATTGTCACAAGAGTCACAAGCGGCACAAAATGTGCTGCGACTCCGACTCCTACGGCTGCTGCGGCCTCAGCATTTTCGCTAGCGGCCCATTCAGCGCGTCTTTCGTGACGTTCTTCCATTGCACATCATCCGCTGCCGTGGCCGATTTTCGTTTCTTCTTCGACTCAGCCTTGAATCAGGAACCGGGGACTAAACCTAATGTCCTGTCCAGCCTGCGCCGGCGCCGACACGTAATTGGATCCAAGTAGCTTTCGCCTTCGCAGCCTTCGCACGCTCGGTCTCGGCCTTCGATCCTTTCGGTCCATTCTCATTCTTGGCCTTGGCATCAATACGGGCTGCCGGTGATTCCGGTGATTTGTCATTTAGGGTTTAGGGTTTAGGGTTTAGGGTTTAGGGTTTGGGGTTTAGGGCATCAACCAAGCGTCAAGTGCCTGTCCACCGTCGCCACCGTCCACGTGGATAGCGACCGCTGCAGGCATCTCCGCTGTCTCCGCTGGGATCGGCCCATTGTCATCATCCTGCTGAGCTGGCTGCCAGGTTGATTCCACAACAACTGTAAAAATGTGAGACCGAAAAAATGTTCAATTTGATACAACACAAACCACAAGCATTCACTGATTCAATGATCACTGCGGACATAAGTGGCATAAGAATCGTTACACAATCATGTCCTTTGCAGTCTCCGCAGCCGGAGTCGAAGCAATCGAATCATTCGGCCCATTCTCATTCTTGGCCTTGGCATCAATACGGGCTGTCGGCTGTCGGTGGGTCATTTGTCAATGATGCCGGCAGCCGGCAACAGTGCCGCAACAGCGTCAGCAGAACAGCAGGTGGTTTGACTGTTTGGCCTGTTTGACCAGAAGCGAAACAATATGCAATGTTTGCTCGTACACCCCCTCCCCCGTTACCCATTGCAATCATTTCCTTGGGAACCCCTATAACAGGATGGCAATCATTTTACATCGAAGGCGTCATATTGGAATTGGCTGGCAACCCATGTGGCCATTGGCCATTTGCAATCATTCTTGGGGGCTGGAAATGATTGTGGCTCTTCGTAATCATTTAGCCCCCCGTACCCCCCTCGCAATCATTTCCTAGGAAGCAGTGACGACGCACCATCGTGCTGGCTGCTGGACTGCCAAGGTCCAGGCTGGCATCACACCATGGGAAGCTTCAGGTACAGCTGCCTGCGGCATGTGTGGAATGCAGGGCAGCGGCAGCAACATCCAGAAGAGCAGCGAGTGCAGGGTGGCATGGCAGTAAACTGTCACGTTATCCACATCAAGACACACACACACACACCATGCAGTTACTCACGCACGATGTTGGAATGCAAGCGTCCAGTGCCTGTCCGCTGTCATCGCCACCGTCCTGGATAGCGACCGCTGCGGTGGCTGCAGGCATCTCCGGGATTGCCTTCTCGGCTGCCTCACTGTTGACTGCTA